GAGAGAGAGAGAGAGAGAGAGAGAGAGAGAGAGAGAGAGAGAGAGAGAGAGAGAGAGAGAGAGAGAGAGGGAACTGGTCACGGGCGAGGACCAGATGTGCGTGTGTGCGTTCACACGCACTCTAAATTGAAGAAGGACGACCGGAATGGTAGCGCGCCAAACGAAGGAAAAGTTTCCCTTTTGCAGTTTGCAGTCGTTTGGGAAATGTGAAATCGCCATTCTGGAACCATCAGGAATGTCGACGATCATTCGGAACAAAAGGCGTAGAAAGGTGTGTGAAAAAAAGTCGGGAATGTGGGCAAATGTTGAATTTCTTTTTTTTTGGTGTCAAATGTTGAATTGTGAATACTTCTCGTGACAGTCCAAGTGTTAAGACTGCTCCGAAAAGTCGAGGCGGAAATGGGATACAAACTTTTGTAACGACGAACTTTACCTTGTGAGGAGGTGGTACCTGAACATTCACCTGAAGAATCACAAGGGTCATCGATGATGACCCCTTGGTACATTTTGGCAAGGGCAATTACAGTAAGTTCTTGGATTTATTTTATTTTATTTTTTTTGTTCTTTCTTCAAGGGTTGCCGACGTTTTCCTGGAACGGAAACCGGGTATGGCCTGTCATCTCGAGTTTCGAAGCATAGAAGTGGGAAGCAGAGAAGAAAGCTGTCAATGACCAGGTGGCAATCCCCACTCTAAACTTAGAATTATCTTTTGAAGAACTGACGAGGTGGAGAAATTACGGTATTTCCGAGCGAAGTAATTCATGGCCAGCAATCACAAGTGAATCACAATTCCCGTGTTAGAAATTGTGGGATCGAACTCTGGTCCGAGAAGCGAAACTTGCTGAATAATAACGGAAACGGTTCTGCTCTCTACCGTTATTTCGGAGGCGAAAAAGGTTTGTGCACTCGTCCTCCCCTCCACGACTACTCCACGACAGGATTTTCTAAAGGATGTGAAAAAGGCGAGGTACGCCCGCTCTCGCCCACCCCGCGCGGCTCCCCACCCGCGCTCCCCCCGCCGGCACACCCACACACAAACCCACGTCTACACTTTCCCACACGCCCACTCGCGCGCTTGCGCCCACACACACACACACACACACACACACACACATACACAAACACACACCCACGCACCCACATACAAGCGCACTTAAACGGGCATGTAGACTATGGTATGGTGGTGGTACATTTCTAACACGGCTTGATAGAGAATATAGGGCTGTCGCTGCACCACTCGCCAAATGTTAAAAACAGGAAAGAATGGTGACTGTGACGTTCCAGATTCTAGCTCAAGATACATTCGCTGCTTGACACATCTGGAGAGTTGTGCAGCGAGGCCCATAATGACCCTAACCGGTTGGACTTCCTTAAGTGAGTGACTCTGGCAATGATTGTGCCTAGGTACTTCAAGGAGTGTCCTAGTCCGAGCATGACCCAAGTAAATTTCCCCTTTTTTAAAGGGCGACGGCCTTGAGATGTCATCATTGAACTGACTGGCCAGGTAATTCAGAATGATCGTATTCTGGTCATCTGATTGTATCTGGATTCGAACTTGGGTCTGTATCTCGACAGGTCGTGGGTGTACCAACCGAGCTACGCCCGTTGGTACAAGTATATTTCCATTTCAAACAGTCCGGATACCTGTCGGACGCGGAGTAGTGGAGCGAGGGCCGATCTCGCTGTCTATGCCAGCTACACCTGTTCGCTTTGCCTCTGGCGGATAGACTTGTTGACATGGCGGGGGAGAACAGGGGTGGGACATAGACTGGGATACGGGGGAAAGGTTAAGAGTAGGGGTTATGTACCCCTGCTGAGGGGTGGGACATAGAACGGGCCGGTTGCCTTGGGAAATATACTTGGAGTTTTCTTAACGAATCGCACCTCGATCTTTGGCCGATTCAGTCGCAATGTACGGACCTCGATCGTTGACCGCTTCAGTCGCAAAAGTCCAGGTGTGAGTATGTACTTGGTCCATGGGAAGGGTCGGTGCAAGGGAGCCAGAAACGATTTGTGGAAAGTCGGTCAGTCTAGTCCCATTTCTATCGCTCTATTTTGTTTGTCTTTGCATTTTTTCCTCTTTTCAAAGCCGTAGTCACACTACCTCTAGTGCATCCCGAGGTGTTAGTGAGCGCAATTACGGCCTGATCCAGCCGGGAAAGCACGAGTGTATGGCCTTCATCCTTAGTCGCCTCGCTCCCTAAAGGGGTTAAGATCGCCTGTCTGCATTGTGTAATCAGCCGGAAAAAAACTCGAACGTGAGCATAGCCTGCCTAGGCTCTCCCTGAAGGGGTTTAGTAACGCTTGTCTGCGTTGATGTGTAGCATGGACCTCCTCCAAACCCTTGATTGAGGGGGGTTATCTGGTTCTTTGGTTATAGTATCCCATAGTGCCCGGAATGCAGCAAATCCTCATCCGCATTAGCAAATTTAAGGAGCTTTCGGTATGTATCTATCCCAAGTTACGGCCTGATTCAGCCGAGAAAGATTCTAATGCGAGTATACCCTTCCTTTGACCGCATTGACGTTTAGTATGTGGACCTGGGGGTTCGATCCGCTCGTTAAAGGGGATAAACCCTGAGTGCGTCCAGTACAAGACAATAACCACTTCCTCTTTGACAAATCTAGGTCCCTATACAACAAAGCCTATGCACTCGAACAAGTGTGAATTCCTCTCCGTATCTTAACGCTCACAATAGAGTATGTAGACCACCGTGCATCATTTTTTTTTGGAACTAATGAGAGCATTCAAGCTATTGAGAGCTCCCCAGGTAGTAAGGTGGCATAGGCCATGCAGGACTGGCCCCTGTAAGCTAAGGTTCCCCGGCCTCGTTTCCATCTAGGTAATGGAGTTTTGAATTTGCAAATATATTGTCACAAGAATATCAGAGCACAAAAGCGGAAAAAACAGAAAGAAACAAGAAAAGAATGAATTCGTTTTTTTTATCTTCTTCCTTACAACTCCCCCTGTTCAGAACCTCTTGTGTACAAGGCCTCCCACGTGGATGTAGGTTGAGTGGCGGCAGCCACCACCCCTGTGTGTCATATCGACCCACTCGCACACAGCCAAAAGGCAAAGAAGCAAAGAAAAGAGGAAGGGAACAGCCGAATAAAACAAAACAGGGGGCAACAAGATCCTAGATGACAAGTCCCACATGTAAGCACCGCCCCCAACTTAACAGGCCAAACGACGGGACAAGACCAACCAGGATATCAAGACATTCTTGCCTGCAAAAAAAAGAGATCCCAAATACATATCTATATACAGCAGATGGCCTTGTTCGTCATCAAGATGTTGTTTTTCCTATTCCTAAACCATTCATGCTCTCCTGCGTCGGCGTCATATTCGCTGATCCAAACTGAATACTGGAACACCATCAACATTAAAAAAACATAAAAGGCAATCCCAGATCCCACCTAAAAGCCGCTCAGCCTCAACATTAAAAGAACATAATCGACAATCCCAGATCCCACCTAAAAGCCGCTCAACCTACATCCACGTGGGCGGCCTTGTACGCAAGAGGTTCTGAACAGTGGGAGTTGTAAAGAAGATTAAAAAAATGAATTTATTTTTCTTTGTTTTCTCTGTTTTCTTTTGAACTCTGACAACTTTGTGACAATATATACTCCGACGTTGCTAGCTCTCTGCTTTTGCAGATGATGCGGCGAGTGTTGGGCCTGTACTAACAGGCTCTTCTTTGTTTATGGAAGAAAATAATTTCGATTCTCTCTTTTCTTTCTTTTTTCTGTTTTTCTGTTTTACTCTTCCCCATGGTTGGGGTATTTCGTTTTGCGGACCTACTGTATGGTTCGGTTTTCTTACTACTGAAATGGCAGAATTTGTTTTGGCAACCTTGTCTGCATCCCGGTTGGTTTTGTCCCATTGTTCGGTCTATTTGGAATGCGTAGCGGTGCTTTCATGTGGGACTAGTCATCCGGGTTCTTTTTTTGGCATCCTGGGTGGTTGAT